GACAATATACAGCCTTGTCGTACTCCTTTCCCAATTTTGAACCAATCAGTTGTTCCATATCCAGTTCTAACTGTTGCTTCCTGTCCCACATATAGGTTTCTCAGGAGATGGATAAGGTGGTCAGACACGCCCATTTCTTTTAGGACTTGCCATAGTTTGCTGTGGTCCACACAGTCAAAGGCTTTTGCATAATCAATGAAGCAGAAGTAGATGTTTTTCTGGAACTCTCTGGCTTTCTCCATAATCCAGCGCATGTTAGCAATTTGGTCTCGAGTTCCTCTGCCCCTTCGGAATCCCGCTTGTACTTCTGGGAGTTCTCGGTCCACATATTGCTGAAGCCTACCTTGTAGGATTTTGTGTGGTTTCTTTGAACTAGCATGTGCAAAAAGGATTTACTTTTAGTACTAGCCCATAACATAGTTACACAACTATGCAAAGAAGCGCAATATTAATCTTCCATTCAGTATTTAGCATTAAAAGTTTGGAAAGTCATGGGCTGCTTCTTTCCAAAGAATTTTCTTGGTGAATATTCTATTTCTTGGTCTTTTATCTTGGTGCCACATCTACATTTATTTTTCTCTCATAAATATTGACACTTCCAGTCATAGCAACACAATGAAATCCTAGGCCAAAGACCTCTTGCATAACTTAATGCAAGATATGCATTAACGGAAAGTGATGTCACCATAGTGGCAGATTGTCCCCTAATTAAGAGTCCATATTACAATTTCTCATTTGAGTCTTTGTTGCATGTGAGTTGGGTGTCTTTTTGTGGGGCCTGGAATTCAAGTTGGGACTCTTTATTGGATTTCATGTTCTGTGTGAAGGTAACCAAGTTGCACACAGCAAGGAAACACATAAGGAACAGCAACAGGGATTCTAATTAGCAGTTATCTGCTACTGTCGCAATAATTTCCCCTCGGCTGAAGTAAGTTACATAAGAGGATTTTGGCCATAGATATTTTCTCCTCATACCTAATGATTTTAATACAGCTCTTTAAAGGAAGAGCCTTGTGGTGCAGTAGTTGAACTGTAGTATTGCAATCAAAACTCTGCTCACAGTCAGCATTCGATTCCAATGGATCTGACAGCTGGCTTGAGGTTCACTCAGCATTCCATCCTTTTGAGGTTGGCAACATGAGTACCCAGCTTGCTGAGGGGGAGGAAATGTGTAGCCTGTATACCGTATTTTTCGCTCCATAAGATGCACCTCTCTATAAGATCCACCAAATTTTTAGGAGAAAACAGGAAAAAATACTCTGTTTTCTTCTCCTAAAATTTGGTGAGCCTTATGGAGAGGTCCATCTTATGGAACACACCCTAGGACCCTTTGGACGCTCACCCTGCCCCCCCCCCGGGGTCAGAGGGGGTGAAATCGCCACCTTCTGGGACTCTTGAGGCTTGGGAAGATTCAGAAGAGTCCCAGAAGCTGGTGATTTCCCCATCTGGCCCAGTGGGGGGGGGGCCGGGGGAGCCTCCAAAGGGTCCTAGGGTGTGTTCCAGGACCCTGAGACTCACCCTGCCCCCCCAGGGGTCAGAGGGGGCAAAATCGCCAGCTTCTGGGACTCTTCTGAAGCTTCCCAAGACTCAAAAGAGTCCCAGAAGCTGGCGATTTCACCCGCGCTTCCCTGTGTGGGGGTGGGGGGAGTGTTGCAAGGGTCCTGGAAGGCTCACTTGGACCCTTGTGACGCTCCCCCCCCCACGGGGCCAGGGGGGTGAAATCGCCAGCTTCTGGGAGTCTTATGAGGCTTCCCAGATTTTGCCCGCGCTGGCCCCGTGGGGGGTGCGTCGCAAGGGTCCTGGAAGGCTCACCCAGAACCTTGCGACGCTCCCCCCATGGGGCCAGCGGGGATGAAATTGCTAGCTTCGCTCCATAAGACGCATAAATCCCCCCTCCACATTTTTTTGGGGAAAAGTGTGTCTTATGGAGCAAAAATACGGTAATTTTAAAAGTCATATATTTAAGCACTATGGGGTGGTATATAAGCAGCATACCTTGCTTTTTGCTTTTTTAAAAGGAAACTCCTGGCTTATTTTAGAAGAATATAAAATAACTACTGATATTTGTGTCTACTGATAAGAACTGTGTGAGATTTTGTGCTGCTCAGCATTGTTCCATAAAATGGAGGTTGGATGGACAACAAAAATGTGTATTTCCTCTGAACTTCCATTCACATTAAAATATAACATGTTTATTTGAACACATTTCCTTTCTTCGAGTGCCCAGGGTAGTGTAAGAAGATAAAAATAAAGCCTCAATAAAATAACTAGTGTTGAAAAGTTACACTTAAAATGTGCACATCCACCTGGTATTCTAATTCCAAGATGTTTTCTCTCTCTAGGTTTTATGACCTATTTGGTGGAGCCACTGTTTGGAGAATGGGCCCGTTTCTCAAACACAAAGCTGTCTCAAACCATGCTGGGTCATTTGGGACTGAATAAAGCTAGCTGGAAGGGTGTGCAGAGAGAGCAGTCCAATGGTGGCGATGACACTGATCCTGCATTTGAGGAAATGGACTCTGATGTAGTACCTCAGGAACAACGACTATCCTGATCCTAGGATCTGCTTCACAAACTGCCTCTTGCCTGGTATCTTTGGAACAGGGTTTGAGGATACATTTTGTCTGACTTGCCAAGGTTTCAGTGTAAACAATGCCAGCATTATTTATTTTGAAGATTTTTCTTTGATAGATCGTTTGAACCCAGTTTTCGGTTGCAAGATCTGAACATAGCAATATGCGTATGCCTTGGTTGGCTTCTGCATGGAACCTTGAATATGCAAACCAGAGGAGTGAACGAACCTTAGTGGAGAAAAGTACAAGATGCATTGTTACGTGCCACATTTTTTAAAAATCTGTTTTTAGAGGAAATTTGAAATACAGCCTTCAGAGTTGTCACACGACATGGAAATTCTCTTGGAATTTTGCAAGACTCTATTCAGTCCTTGTCCAAAATGTGGAAATGTGAAGTGCCCATACTTGGCCGCCTCGGGCAAGAGCTGATGTTTACAAATACACTTGGAAACTATAGATTCTAGACTAACCTTTATGCATGGCTGTGAAGGAACCACTACTTAAAAGATCAAATCTGAAACTGCAGCTCGTTTTCCTGTTACCAAGAGAGAAGTCTCCTGTATATCAAAAATTTAGCTGTGCATTGGGAACTGAACATTTAACATAGAGCACAGCCAAGCTTTACTCCAGTGCAAAATGGGAATGCGATTATAGCAGGCAGAAATATTGCATTTGGGGAGGGGAGGTGGGAAGGGATGGAAGAGAGGAAGCATCCTAAATGTGTTACGATTCTGCAGTGGAAACATTTGCATGTTGTTTTCACCATTGTACACTTGAACTGCACATGCAAGAAAAAAGAGAGGTGGAATGACTACGAACACCAGAAACAGCTCAGGGTATTTGCCAATCTGAAATAAAGTGGGATGGGAAATGTGTCCTTCAGAAAAAGGGTACAGATGCCCCTTTCACTGCAGCGTGTGTATGTGTGTGTGTGCTTGCGTGCATGTTAAGTGTGAGTGAAGATTTGGGGGAAGAAGGGGAAGATGGGACAGATTTGAAAGGCATTTTTTTAATTTATTCTTTTTAGAATGTGACATTTTCATGAGCAGCCACAGGGGGGAAACTAACAGGTTGCTACAGCTGCCTTAAACTATGCACAAAGCTAAGTGACCAAATTTTGTTGATTGAAAAAGTGCATTGTTTACTTATTCCTCCCTCTACTGAAACGTTACCCATTATGGGTTTTTTTGATGTGAAAAGGAGAAATGTTTTTATGGACAAATTTTAAGGACTAATTTTTAATCTTCAAGCATTCCTTTTTTGTAATTTGTTTTTAAACATTGTTTTAAGTACTGTAAGCACAATTGTAATCTATTTTGAGAAACTGGTGCTTTCTTTTTGTTCATTTGTATTTCCCTTGTTCTTACTGTAAAGACTGTTTATTCCATTCTGTTTACAGTTTGCAACAGCCATTTTTGGGAGAGAGCTTCAGTGTAAAGCCATTTGTTAAAGGCTTTGCCATACTCATTTTAATGTGCCTGTTGCTGTTAACTTTTGATTAATAATAAAAACTTTTCACATTATCTCCCGAGTCTAGCTTTAGATGCAAAGAATGAATTGGGATCATTTTAATTATGAAATCCCTCCTGGTGTCTCCTTTGAGCTTTACTTGAAAATACATCTTAAAAGTCAAGCAATCTATGCGATTTTAACGGAGTAAAATGGAATTTCAGTCTGCTCATGAACTAGAAAAATGGATCCCCCTATATGTGTGCCACACTTCTGCTCAAGATGGTTGGGAGATCCATTAGAACATATGGAGAGGAACAGTGCAGGGAGGTAGAAAGGAAACTCCTGTTACATAAGTATTATTCTCCTTTTTATCATTGGATTTTGCCCACTGATGTTCTCCTTTCAGCTTAAACATTCAAATACCCAGGTTGCAACTTGTTGAATCTTAATACAGTATAGTTGCACATTTGGGTTAACTTGTAAAAGTGCCTTCCATCTGGTTATGTAAATTTGACTGTATGCCATTAACGTTCCAACAGACCATTAGAGCAAAGTCTGTATGTGCTCCAAGAAGCCCAAAACAAAAGGGATATATATTTTTGTCTTACTGCTCAACTGTTCTTATCTTTGAATTCTAAATCTCAACACCATCTTTTTCACTTGCTTGACTATAGGTTCTGCCTCGATATATTTTATTTCTTCAAGGCAATTCTGGAGAAATGCTTACGAGCCCGGAATCCTAGAGTTGGAAGGGGCCTATAAGGCTATTGAGTCCAACCCTCTGCTCAGTTTGGGAATCTCAGTCAAAGTAGATCTGACAGATGGTTGTCCAGTTTTTTCTTGAATACCTCCAGCATTGCTACTTAAATTTTGGATAACAAATTTCTAAACCATCTCAACAGCATCCACCCAAATATACAATTCACCATGAAAAAAGAAATAGAGGGCCAACTCCCGTTCTTAGATGTCATGCTCGTACGCAAAACTGACCTCCTATAGGGACACAAGGTCTACAGAAAACCCACCCACACTGACTGGTACCTACACAAAAACGCCAACCACCACCCACAGCAAAAAAGAGGCATAATTAAAACACTGGTAGGCCATGCAAATCTGGCCCTACAGGCAAATGGCTATTCCAAAAATGAAATGACAAGAGCCATCAAACCAAGAAAACAACACCAAACTGAAGAAGAAAAACAGCCACCCACAAATAAAATATTTCTGCCATACATCAAAGGGGTCATGGACCGCATGGGGAAACTTTTGAAAAAACACAACCTACAAACAGTATTCAAGCCCACCACAAAAATACAACAAATGTTACGGTCAGAAAGGACCCCCTCACCACTGCAGGAGCATACCGGATACCTTGCAGTTGTGGCCAGGTATATATTGAAACCACAAAACGAAGCATCCACAACAGAATCAAAGAACATGAGACACTGCAGACTAAAACAACCAGAATAATCTGCTGTAGCTGAACATGCCCTAAAATAAACTGGACATGAAATTCTATTTCAAAATACTGAAATACTGGACAACACCAGCATTCTGTATGTTAGACTGCACAGGGAAGCCATTGAAATCAATAAACAAACAGAACTTCAACAGGAAAGAAGGCCTAAAACTAAATATGGCCTGCCAGCCCATTCTGAAAAATACAATCTGTGAACTCTACCCAGCCACAAGGACCAGTGATTACTACACACAAAAGACCAGCTAACACCACCCATCAATCACAGTGACAGATAATCTCTCCTCCTTATCACAACAATACACCTACAACAAAAACACACTGATCACCATAATCTCCCATCTCTTGAAAAGGACAAAAGCTGATCCAGCAGCTATAAATACTCAACTCCCAAACAAACTGCACCAGAGCAGAGTGCTACTCCAGTCCTCTGAAGATGCCGGCCACAGAGACTGGCGAAACGTGAGGAAGAACAACCTTCAGAACACGGCCAAAGAGCCCAAAAAACCCACAACAACCAAACTGCACAAAATTTTACTAAACATGCACCTACCAAGACTCATCATTATTATAAACCTCTTTACAAGCAAGTCTCGAAGATTGTCGTTAGCAAAATGCTTGAACAGAACAATGCAACAGAAAGGGGGTCCTATTTCAGTCTTGTGTCGGCTATGAAATTTCTTGCTGGTCTTAGGTAAATTCATCCCTCTTTATCTCTACCTTCCTCACCTCAATCTGCAATATGGTTGCTAAAACTTTTATCTGTAATAGGGGTGGGAAACATGCTGCCCTTTAGATAATGATACATTTCAGTTCTAATCAGTCCTACTCAGCACGGTCAAGTTTAAAAAATGATGGGAACTGTAATCCAACATCTGGTGGCTGTTCTTTCAACACAGATAAAAGAAACAAACCATGTTCTTCTAGGTACCCTGTTTTCCCAAAAATAAGACGGTCTTATTAATTTTTGCTCCAAAAAAACACAAAACACACACACACACATTATGGCTTATTTTCAGCGGATGTTTTATTTTTTTCATGTACACCAATCTACATTTATTCAAATACAGTCATGTCATCTTCTGGTTGCTGCACAATGGTGGAGGGTGGGTTTCACTTAACTAGGGGTTATTTTTTGGGTAGGGCTTATATTATGAGCATCCTGAAAAATCATATTAGGTCTTATTTTCAGGTTAGGTCTTATTTTAGCGGAAACGGGGTAGCTAGGTCCAAGGCTTTTTCCAGCAGTTAGGTCTTATTTTAGCGGAAACAGGGTAGCTAGGTCCAAGGCTTTTTCTGATAACAGTTGCTTTATTGCTATTATCTTGTTAATCATATTAGGGATTCATGTCTCACTGATGTTTACTTGGACATCCCTGAGTACCAGGAGACTCTGTTTAGGACTGCAGCCTTAATTTATCAGCTAGTTCAGGCACCATTTCTAGTAGCTTCAAAATACATCTCCATAGTGCACCATGAATTAATCCTAATGTCTGCATACACTAAAACTGAAGGGCTACCCTTGAGTCCCTTCTATAAGGAGGAAAAATATATATAAATAAATAAAGAGTTGAACTCAGGCTGTTTAATTTTGCACATTGGTTGTATAGGATAAAATACAAACATATCTGAGAACTGTTGGCTTCAAAACATCTCAAAGCATTTTTACATATCAGGCTAAAAATGGTCCATAAAACTAAGCTTATAAAACACTTAAAATGAAAGCACTGAAACATTTCAGGAACATTACTGTATTTGACACCTGCATTATATTAACACTTTAAAGGGATAATCTATTTTACCATTAGAATTTGAGCCAGTCAAGTAACAGGTTCCTAAAAGAAATGCTCACAAATGTTGAACAATTCAAATTAGGAGACTTTAACATGAGTTTCATTTATAAAACTGTCAGTTCTAGAAATACTGTATTTTTATACTACATTTTGCCTTCTTCCAACATCCAATCTTTTTCTGTTCCTTTATTTCGAAATGAAGAATTCAGGTATCAGCAAGCAAAACAACGCAGTACTAGTCCAGCTGCTGGTACAAATGTTGTATTAAGAATTTATCCAATCCAGTCATTTTTAGTGCCATGCACTGCACAGGAGAATCAGCTCAACTCATACCCTCCCATAGGAGCAAATTATTATTTATTTTTGGCTGGGAGTGGAAAATCTGCACACTCTCTTCACGTCTTTTTGATATAGATCTCTCTCTTTTCTTCTATCAACAGAAAGGAAAGTGGGTGGTTTTTGGAACAGATTTTCCAGCCATAGTGAATAGTAAGGGGCTACCCTGAGGCTACATTTAAAGCTAGAGGAGGGCAGCACGGATTATGCATCCTTGATTTACCACAATTAAGGGGTGGGAAAAGGTAACCTAATGCTCTTGGACTTGATCTTTAAGGTATGGTGTTGTATTCTTGCAGAGTTAAACATATACTTCACTGGTAACCAGTTTCATCTGCTCCAACTTTCCAAGTTTTTCAATGCCAAATATGCAGCATTTCAGGTTTTCTGTAACATTACTTGCCTGGAAGAAAGTCTAAATTATCAAACGTAATCATGTATAAATAATACTAGAGCTTTAGATATTTTATTCTCTGTAAATATGCCACCACTGCAGCATTTATGCTTAAACAATGAGATGCCTCACTAAAGCTCCCTAGGCAAGGTGTACAAAGTTTTGAAGTTTAAATTGCCGAACAATAAATAAGGTTTGAAGCCTTGTCTCTTCAACAATGTAAGGCAGAGCAGCTTCTCAACGCAAGAACTCAAGATGCAACAGATGTTCAAAATGAGATATCCAACAAGCTAAAATGAACTGCATAAAAATTCCCATACATAATTCCAGCTACTACACCAGAGATATAACAATTTAAGGCTATTTGCTGCCACAGTGTTCAAAAATGTTCTGCAGGGTGCCAGTCTGTAAAGTATTTGGTACAGATAAATTAGTGTTAGTAATGCAGCAACATTTTTGTACTAAGAAGCTGTGCTTTTCTGAAATACACATTTTACTTTTTCTTTAAAAAGTCACCTGTGGAAATCAGAGGCACATTTCAATTCAGATTCACTGAATTAAATAAATGATCCTCTGCACAAAGTAGCTGAAGAAATCCTAACCCTGTGGAAGAAGTTTCTTCTCTTCAGTACTTTTCAATTAGAGTCTTCATTTTTCCTGTAGACTTCAGCATGTGTGGCCCAAACTGTGAAAGGGAGAATGAAAAGAAGCACAAGTATTTAAATATCTGGAGTAAGTTCATGATTTAACCTTCCCCAACTCAGTGTTCTCCTGCACATGGCACAACTTCCAGCACCATTTCCCATGCTGAGTTGGGCTGGTGAAATGCAATCTAAAACACCAGAGGGCACCAAGATGGAAGACTGCTATACAGTAGGGCAATACAGTGGTGCCCCGCATAGCGACGTTAATCCGTTCTAAAAAAACCTCGCTATCCGGATTCCTCGCTATGCGGGGCAAAAAACCCCATAGGAACGCATTAAACCCCATTTAATGCATTCCTATGGGGAAAAAACTCACCGTTCAGCGAAGATCCTCCATAGCGCGGCCATTTTGGCTGCCTGTTAAACGAGGAATCCGTCCCAGAAAACAGCGGGCGGCCATTTTGTAACTGCCGATCAGCTGCTAAAAAAAGCATTGCTTTGCAATGATCGGTTCCCCAAGCAGGGAACCGATCATGGCAAAGCACCGCCAGCTAGCCAGCCAGCCCCGGACGCCCGGTTTCCATGGCTGGGCGAGAGCGAGGGAGCGCGGCTGTCTCCAGGGCTCGGAGGCAGCAGCCAGGAAGGGGCGTGCCACTGACCGCCAGCCAGCCAGGCAACCCCGGATGCCCGGTCTCCTTGGCGGGGCGCAGATGGGGCAAGGAGGAGGTCTCTGGTGCGCCGCCCCCCCGTCCAGCCGCTGCAGCCCTGATCCCGGTCCCGGGCGGGT